GAGCTGAGGGGGGGCGGTGGGCCCAGGAGGCAGCGATTTTCTTTGCAGCTCTCTGGGCTCTGCCTCAAGAGAGAACGGACCTGTGGCGCTTCTCAGGCTTCGGGCTGTGGTTGGTCCCCACTGAGCCACCCACTGTTTCCACAGAGCGGCCACGGCTCCAGCTGCCCAGGCACCTACGCCAGACCATCCAGAGGAGGGTTGGGGAGCCCGTGAACCTCCTCATTCCTTTCCAGGTAGGGCTGGCCCCCTTCTCTGTCTCACAGTGTGTTGTTCATGCCTAGCAGATGGGTGTGTCTCAGGGCTGACCACACCCCGGGACCTCACCTGGGCATGCGAGGCTGCAGTGGTGGCCGGCCTTCAGGAAGAGCCAGGCTTGGGAGTGAGCTGTTCCTCCCCACAGGGCAAGCCCCGGCCTCAGGTGACCTGGACCAAAGAGGGGCAGCCACTGGCCAGCGAGGAGGTGAGCATCCGAAACAGCCCTACGGACACCATCCTGTTTATCCGGGCCGCTTGCCGCACCCACTCTGGCACCTACCAGGTGGCGCTGCGCATTGAGAACATGGAGGACAAGGCGACGCTGGTCCTGCAGGTCATTGGTGCGTGGCACTGGGGCCTCCCTCTGAGCCCCCTCATTTCCTCTCCCTGAGCTGGACCCAACCCAGGGCTTCACATCTTTCAGTCCTGGGGCCCCAGCTCTGGGATGCCCAGTCCTACAGAAGACGACAGCCAAGTCCAGGATGGCGGGCCATGGGGCCCCTTGTGCCTGGCGTCCCCTGCTCTTGTTCAGGCAGTAAGTATCAGGAGGTGTGGTGTTCCAACTGGGTCTATATTCTGCAGACAAGCCAAGTCCTCCAGTGGACATTCGGGTCACAGAAACGTGGGGTTTCAATGTGGCTTTGGAGTGGAAGCCACCCCAAGATGATGGCAACACAGAGATCTTGGGTTACACAGTACAGAAAGCTGACAAGAAGACCATGGTGAGCCTGGGGGTCTGCGCCCCACATATACCCTCCCTAGGGCCAGGCAGCCCAGCTGCCTCTCTCCTGGCCTGAGAATGGGCCTTCCTCTCATCCTCCCTCTCCGATCTGGTTCCCTCCACAGTTGAGAGGGCCTCGGCAGGAAGTAGGACCTGCCCCCAGAGACCCCTCCCTTTCCTCCACACCTGCAGGAGTGGTTCACTGTCTTGGAGCACTACCGCGGTACCCACTGCGTGGTGTCAGAACTTATCATTGGCAATGGCTACTACTTCCGGGTCTTCAGTCATAACATGGTGGGGCCCAGTGACAGTGCCGCCACCACCAAGGAGCCCGTCTTCATCCCTAGACCAGGTCTGTACCCTCACTTTCACCCCTGGGGGAGCTGAGGCAGGGAGGCGGTGGGGTCAGGGAGGGGTGCCCGGCTTGGTGTGGCCCTCCTGGCACAAAGTCCTATTACCAACAGGCATCACATATGAGCCACCCAACTACAAAGCCCTGGACTTTTCTGAGGCCCCAAGCTTCACTCACCCGCTCAGTCATCGCCGGCTACAATGCTGTCCTCTGCTGTGCCGTCCGGGGTAGCCCCAAGGTAGGGAACTTCGGGCCCAGGTCCAGGCAGACCCAGGAGACAGGGCTTAGCAGCTCCATCCTTGAGCGGTCCTCTCCCCAGCCTGTCCCCCTGCTTCCTCTCTGCCTCTGGGATCGGGGCCAAGTTGCTCTCCCCGAGCAGGGCCTCAACGCTCACCGTTGGCTCCCTGTCCATTCTCACTCTTTGGCAGTTTCGGACCTAGTGGGAGCCCCTGGAGTAGGAACACCAATGCCAGTCTTTCTACATGCCTGCTAGGTCCCCTGTCCACCTGAGGGTTTTTCTTCCTCTCATTGCTGATTTACAGCCCAAGGTTTCCTGGTTCAAGAATGGTCTGGACCTGGGAGAAGATGCCCGCTTCCGCATGTTCAGCAAGCAGGGAGTGTTGACCCTGGAGATCAGAAAGCCCTGCCCCTTTGACGGGGGTGTCTATGTCTGCAGGGCCACCAACTTACAAGGCGAGGCACAGTGTGAGTGCCGCCTAGAGGTGCGAGGTGAGGAACCCACTGGGCCAGAGCCTAGGGTGGCGGAGGAGGCAGGACACCAGCTGGGACTCTGTTTCCTGGCCCAACAGCTGCTCTGGCTGAAAGGGCAATGACCTTGCCATGTCCAGATGGGTTCTGGCTTCTGGGCTCTGTTGCTAGAGCTGCTCCCTCAGCCTCCCAGAATCTGGGAGGACGCACATGGTGCTGGAAGGTGCAGCACACAAATGACATGGCCTCCTTCTCTCCTGCAGTGCCTCAGTGACCAGGCTGGCTCACCAGGGATGGCCAGGTATGTACTCCAGACCACCCTGACAATCGGGGCCCAAATCAGAGGCTGAGCCCTGGCCCTTGGTCCAGGAGCGGCCATCAGAAAATGAGGGTGCCGGTGGCTCTTAGCAAGGTTTCAGTCCAGTTCACTCACAAGGGAACCTGTGTCACAGGTGCAACCAGATGCCGGCCCATGTGCCAGGAGCCTGGAAGGAAGCGGACAAGCTACCTTCCTGCTGTTGGATGTGTGTGTGCAAGTGTGCATCTTGGGGCTGGGCTGGGGGAGGCATCGGTAGCACAGTATAGTTGCAAGCAGGTGTGGAAGGGACTCTACGCAGACTGACCTGTCAGAGCGCCTGTTGGAAACTTTCAGATCTTCTGGGTGAAAAATGAGTGGGCTCAGGAAATGATGGCTGCAGACCGGTCTTTCTGGCCTGTCGTGTTTCTTAGTGTATAAGGGCAATAAAAGATCAGTGCACTCACAGAGAACTGACTCTTGTTTTCACACAAAGCACAGAATTTAGTTGATCTTCAGAGCAAACTATAGGTAGGTATCCTGTCTCCCAGAAGAGTGAAATAAGGCCCGGCCGGAGTGGAATCCCAAGTTCATAAAATGTTAATGCTAGAAGGAACCTCAGTCTTCCCTCACTGCATATAGTCTTCAAATGAGGAAACTGAGGAGCTGTGACAGGAAAGTGTATTAGCAACACAGCCCGAAGCCCAGGGCTCTCCTTCCTGGTCTCATGCGCTCAATACTATCTTTGGCCTGGTGACCCGTGGTCACAGCAGCCCAGATGTGGGGCACTGCTGAATCTCGATATGGTTCTGTGCCCATAAGGCCTGGAGTGGAGCTGCACTGGGCTGTTTTGGGGACCCAGTGGTTAACAAGCCCAAAGCCCATGTACACCCGTATCCCATTGGGAGAGAGTGACCCTCTCCAGCACAAGACACTGGGAACCAGGAAGATGTAGGGCTAGGGCTATACTCTGCTCTTCCTTCCCCCAGAGGGAGCCCGGACCTGATCATCAGTTTCCTTTTTGGAGGAGGAAGCCAGCAGTTCTCAGAGGTGCCCTGATAGAGTGTGGAGGGTCCTTCCTGCCCAGAATACCAGGTTGTTCTATGGCATAGAAAAAAATTCCAAGAGGGCTGGTCCCAGGGCTGCTTCTCAGAATTCTACCCAATCTAAGACACTCCTGGCCAAGATCCCAGAGCTCAGGGATCCAGGGTCTGTAGGAGGCCCTGGCCAAGTCAAGGAAAACCAGGAGCTGGGCCCCCGGCTTGGTTCCTCCACTGCTAAATTCATTTCTGCTCAGGTGTCAAAGCCAGTTTGGCTGCTCCCTCTAGTGGCCAATTCCTAGTACAGCAGCCCTCTACAGGCCCTGAGGTGGCAAAGGGAAGCCTTCTCCCACTGCCCCTCTCTGGGAGCCCAGAAGCCTGGTGAGGAGGCCCGCTGGGCCAGAGGAGTGGGAGGCTGAGCTTCTGTGAGCCAGAGCTGGATGGGCATGGTCTCCTCCCTGCTTGCTTCAGACCGGAGGTCTTTAGTAGAGGCCACGGTCAGGCTGACAGGAGGCATCATTTAACTCCAGGAGCCCGAGGGGAATTAAGGACATTTATTTCACATTTGCACGTCTGTACATTTTCTATAAATAATGTGGAACTGAAATATGTACAATCATCTCTTGCCCACTCCTAGGCCATCTTTTCCTCTGGCACCCAGTGCCATGAGAAGCCGCCTGCAGACACAGCTGTATATGCTGAATGTGGCCTCTTCCTACCCCTCCGGGTTCCTGGGTATGCAGCCAGTGGTCCCCGGGACTCTTCTAGCCCCAACCACTCTGTTCTCTCATGCCTAAGGCGAGGCAGGCTATTGGAAATCGCCGCTCAGCAAAAAGCAGCCCCTCTGTGCTGCTCCACTGCAGTGGTAGAGGCCATGGTAGGCAGCAGCAAGGCTTGTGGCCCATGGGCAGTAGCTGCCAGCTTAGGAAATGCATAGAGAAGCAGGGAGGTTGCCACTCACTCTGCTGCCCCTTGAGTCTCCGTCCCCCTCCCTGCTCACACCTTGTCTGGGAGGACAGGCCTCATCCCTCACAGAGTGGGACTGCTGCAGGCACCCAGTCATGCTGGATCACAGGGGACGGAGAGCCAGAGTCTTCCACCGAAGGTCACAATGCCAACCACAACACAAATGTCTCAAGGACACACAGTAGTGGACTCGCAGTGGCTTATACTCAGAGTTCTTAAAAGCCATCGGCCCAACAAGACAGACAGACACGCACACACATACACACATACTCTTGAGCCCTAAAGGGCAGTAGGCTGGTCTTCCAGGAGTGGAGAGGGTGAGAGCAGAAGAGACTAGCTCGGCCCTGTGATGGACACACTGAGAGAGACACATAACTGGGAACCAGCTAAACCACGGCTAGGGGCTTGCAGAGAACATACACGCGTCATCCACTTGTCATAGCAGCATTGTGCACTTGAGAATGGCAAGGGGCATCCCCTGGGCTGGGGCAGCCTTAGCCCCCTCCATCAGCTAGAGACGGGCCGGGGTGGGGTTCTGAGATCTTCCTCACTGCTACGAACTGCAGCCACATATGAGAAGAGACACAACACAGAGTAGCAGATCTCGTGGGCCTACAGAGAGAAAACCAGACAGATCAACATCAAAGACTTCATCATCTTCACATGTGTAGATGTGCCAAGTGGAAAACTCCTTCCTGTCTTAACATGGCTCGGGCCTAAGCAAGGCCTCAGAGCTGGCCGGTGGGAGAGGGTTTAGTATGTATCTCTTCTCCAGGGCCGAAGACCTGTTTCAGCTTCAGTTGATTCTTTGGCATCTGACCAAATTTGCCCTTCAAATCATTCCTAATTGCCCCTCACCCTGTGCTCTCAGAGGCCCCAACCTACTCCTGTCTGAAGGTCCCCAGGAAGCCCTGTGCAGACTGGCCCGTCAGGGCTGGGCGGCACACTCACCATTGGTGTCTTGTACTTGTGGCTCACCACTTCTTTAATTTCAGGAACTAAAACCGGACGGGCAAGAGACAAAACAGAAAGTTCAAAACTAAGAACAATAGTGCCATGCTCCCCCAGGCGGCAGCGCCCGGCACCAGGGTCCCCTTCCTCTCAGTGGCCTCTCCCAGTGGCTACAGCAGCTCAGGCTTTGACGGCTTTTGTCTAGCCCCTGCAGGATGAGAGGACACTGCCCCAGACACTGCTCTCTGAGGTTTGCAGTGGCTCCTCGCTCGATGGCTGTGACTATGCACTTCTCTGAAAGCCCTGGCATGGAGCAGGTTAGCCTCTCACCAGTCTGGTCACTGCTGCTGTCTGGGGCCCCTGAGAAGTACAGTGGCTATTCCTGGACTTGGGTTAGGGAAGAGTTGTCTAGCCTCTGCCTCACCTTGCTCAGATGCCCGAAACTCTGGTCGTGTTAAGCACGGTTCCCTGTACTCCCGGCATCTACACAGAGGGTCCTGAGGCGGGATGAAGTGGCATGACACTAAACCCGCCAGACCTGTAAGTGTCCTTCCCTGAGTGGCAGGAGAGGCCCAGGCCTGCCCGTGTGAGGGAGAGCGTCAGAGGGCTCTGGAGCAGACACACTGAGCAGAAGAGACAGGCGAGTACAGCACTCAGGAGGGAGGTGATAGGGAGCATCAGGCAAAATACACACATGTCCACAGCCCAGAATGCAAGACTAAGAGTCACCTGTGCCCCAGCCATGCAGGGGTTCTGCTTGGCCAGAGGAAGGAGCAAGGCCCCCAGGGAACAGCCATCACCATGGCCCCTGGAGGCGGGAGCAGAGGGGCATGGCATCCCCCTGGGAGCCAGAGAACGTAGAATAAGAGTTGGCCACCCCTCCTTCTGACCTGGCGGGTAGAATTCAGGGGACCCAGAGTTAACAGGGAAAAAACTCATCAAAAGTGGAGGAAGAAGCCCAGGTCCTCTCCTGAGTCAGAAGATTCCCCAACATCTCTCTGGCAGGAGAGAGAAGGGAGCACACGGGGGAGAAAACTCAGAATCGGTGAGGCAGCGCCAGGGTGGAGGCAAGTTGGAAAGGAAGAGGGTGGGGAGAGAAAGGAAGAGACAAACTGGCAATGTGAGCGGCTAGTTTGGCTGAAGGGAGCCCGCCCCACCCACTGCAGGGCCCAAGACGGGGGGCCTGGGGAGAGGCAGCACGAGCCGAGGCCACTTTACCTGCTGGAGAACGAAGGTTTTCATAGCAGCGATGAGGGGCACAAAAGAATGAAGCACAAACGCAGCAGGAGCTCAAAGCCCCGGGGTGAGAACCCACCACACCACACGCCAGCACGGGGCTGGGGGGAGGCCGGCTCCCAGCTCCCAGCTACAACCGCCCCATCTGCCTCTGAGGCCCACTAGGCTTCTCTGCCCTCTAGAGTGAGTCTGCCTGGACCACCACACGCCTCTCCTCTACTAGCACAGAGGTTAGGCGGACACCAGAGTGGCACCAGGGTGGCTGGATGGAGCACCGGGCTACGAGGAGGACGTCAGCAGGCGGCATGAACACAGCAGAGCTTGGGGACTGCCTGTCTGCCCTGCCCCAGAACTTTCTGACCACCGGCCGGCTGGCCAAGCGAGGGAAGCTGGAGCTAGTTCACTGAGCCCTTTTAGTGCCACCTCTGAACGCTAACCCTGTCTAAGGCCACTTGCTCTTCTGTGACCCACTCCCTAGCTGCCATTGTCTCTCTTCCTTCTCTTCTTCGCTCATCTCGGGGTTCCCTTTTCTCCCCTATCACTCCGGCCCCTCTGGATTCTGCAGAGCTGCTGCTTCTCTCTGCCTCTAGTCCCTCCTCTGGAGCTCCGAGGTTTGAGTTACTGCCATGTGAGTCCAGACCTAAGAGCAAAATAGTGTAATTACCAAATTCCTCCAGGACAAAGACGCCTCGAACTGTATTGCACTTTTTAATGTGATTCAGCTCTATGAAAACCTGCAAGAGAGGGAGGGAAGGTGGGGTAAGGCCCAGAGGCTCCCCCTCTGGCCCCACAAAGCCCACTTTCCCAGCTACAGCCCCACCCACACACAGGAAAGCTATTTCCCAAAGGGAGGACAGAAGAATCCACACACACACAACTCAAAAGCGCTAAGAAGCGAAGACAGCAGAAAGGGCATGTACCTTCCGCTCCTGGCCGGAGGAGAAAGCATGGGAGAGAAATGAAGGAGTTAGTTTTAATGGACAAACCCAACCCGAAGGCCCCTCTGCTGGCCTGGGCTGCCCGCCCATAACCTGTGTCCAGAGCAGCGTTTGTAGGACACTGTGCCCCACGGGTCCCCCCCACTCAGCCCATCAGCTCTCTACCCTTCCATGCATCCTCCTCCGGCGCAGAGGGCAGGCACGGGCGCAAAGCTCCCCTCAGAATGTCCTTGGGGTGGAGGCGTTGCTATCTTCCTTGAAACAGGATCCAGGCTCTCCCAAGAAGCACGAGGTGGTCATAATAACAGCTACCCCTTATGGGCACCTACTAGGAATTCTACAAAAACTATTTGCAATCCTTATACCTATGTGGCACAGTATAGAGTACTACCCTCACTTTACAGTTGAGGACACTGAGGATCAGAAAGTTTATCTGCACGTGAATAATGAAGCTGGGCTCTGAATCCACATCCCTCCTGACTCTAAAGACTTCCTATTTGTTCCCCCAACTGTGTGACTCCATCGGAGGGTCTCAGGCCCTCTCGACTCCAACTGACTGTTATGTAGTAGAAGGTGGACCCCACAGCCCTTATCTCATTGTCAGTCAGGGTTTGAGTTCCCCTCTCTGTAGGATCTCTCTTCTGGGGCAAAGCCTTAGCTCGATACTAGCTCGTACAAGCTTCGTACAGATGTTAGGTCAGTCCAAAGGGCCAGACCCGGAAGAGGGCATTTGAGTGTCAACAAAATCTCTTCTTTAGAAGGTGAGGCGTCAAGGGAGTCCACAGCACTAAAATGTGGTCAGAAGCCTGCTCTCCAAGAAGTGCCAGTACCTCCATGGTCCAGAAAAGTACTTAGGTAAACCCCTCTTTAGGCTGACCCTAAGGTCTTAAGTATACTATTTAAAATATTAATATTACTAATAGTAAATATACTGTTGAAAATATACTGCCAAGAAGCCTGGGCAGCTGTTTCCCATCACACCAAAGCTGACCAGCTAGATTTCTGAAGAACTCAAATGGCAAGTGGAGGGAGAAAGCCAGAGTCCAGATGTTCACCTCCCCTGGGAATCTGCTGCCTGACCAGGGGCTGTAGTGTTTCACGATTTAGATCTGGCTCAGAGTCTCAAGGAGAGGAACCAGTACAGCAGGGAAGGGGGGAAGGGGTAGGGAAGGCACTTGTGTGAAGAGTCAGACTGGGGACGGACCTGGGATGATGCGTTGGCCTCGGAAAGGAATTAGCTTAAGGAATGTCCACTGAGAGAAAAAGTAACACTGTGTTAAAAGACCAAGAGAAAGAGAAAAGTCAGCTCCTAT